TTCATCCCAATTCAAAATCACTTCAAGATCCTCATTAAGATTTGCAACCTCCTGCTGTCGATGAGTATGTGAATCCGCAGCCGAAGTCTTGGAATCCAAATGGAATGAAGAGACAAGTGTGCTGTCGTCAGCAAAATATTATATTGGATTCTTGGTTTTTTTCCAATAAGTAGTTGATATAAAAAAACTGGAATGGAGACAATATGGATCCCTGGGGAACACAAGCGTTGATGGTGAAAGTATTGCGATATTTTAAACATGGGTGACATACGATAGGGATACGAAACGATTAGGAAGAGCGTATGAATGATTTTTGGACCTCGGTTACTTTGGCAATAAAGTTCAGCAATATTTCGTGTTTTCTATTCTCTTTCCCGAAACAGTGAAAAATGTATTTTGAAGGCATCATGAATATTTGAATTGACGGAAATTATAGAAAATAGCAGCAGGGGGTGGTATACCTCTGTCAACATTTTAATCAGACACCCTGCCACCTTTATATTTTGTTATAGTGTTAACAAAAGGAAACGAAGGAAAATAGCAGTAACCAAATCAAAAAACCGGCCGTTGGAGGCGTTACAAATACACCAATACTTTTATTAGAGTCTCTGCCACCTTCATATTTTATTATAGTGGTCACAACTGGAAATAAAGAAATGTGTCAGATGTGAAATCAAAAAACCGGCCATCGGGGGCGGTACAGATCAAGCAATATTTTTATAAGAGTCTCTGCCACCTTCATATTTTCTTATGTTGGTCACAATTGGAAATAAAGAAATATGGCCCCCGACGATCGGTTTTTTAATTTCACCTCTGACATATTTCTTTATTTCTATTTCTTAACACTTTACCAAAATATGAAGGTGGCAGAGTCTCTAATAAAAATATTGCTTGATCTGTACCGCCCACGACGGCCGATTTTTTCATTTCACCTCAGACGTTTTTCTTTGTTTTCATTTCTTAACACTATACCAAAATATGAAGGTGGCAGAGTCTCTAATAAAAATATTGCTGGATCTGTACCNGCGTTGATATTTTTCGGAGGCGGAGAAAAAAGTTTAACTTGATCTAGACTGGCTGAAAAATTGTCTGATTTACTTATTCATTGACACGTCTACAATGCTATCCAATCAATTCTGAACGGAGACCGAGCGAAAGTTGACGTTCTTATTAAAATATCTGAGATCTCCGCCAACGTATCATGTTGGGAAGTTGGAGCGTAGTTTGTTATATTGAAATTGTTTTTGTATATACAGTGTGCGTCGACAGCTTCCGCCGCCTACTCCGTACTCGGCGGGAAGCTAATTGGAAACACTGCGGAGTGTATTTCAATCAACATGTCATCAGTGAGGTTGAACGGTTCGAAAAATTGCGTTGCTATAGAGGGATCGCAGGAAATTTCAATCGAGCTGAATTCAAAGAACTGCAAAATGAATGATACAACTGTTAAAACATATTTTTAATGTAACTGAATACGAAGTATATTTTATTGGAATGTTTGAAGATGATGGGCCAAAAATTCTTAAATGACACATTATTTTTACGATCACCAGAAATTTTCAACTTGTCTGTTTTTCGAATTGCTGCGGAGGATTCTTTTTTTTCGAATTGAGTGAAAGCATGATTAAAAATACTTGAAGTTGTGCTACATAACAAGGCAATTCGTTTAAAAAAAATCTTCAAAGGATCTGAAGAGCTGCTTTCACTTTTTTCTTCGAAATATAAGGTTGTTTCAGAAGTTTTCATGTCATGTGTTTTCATAGCTATATATCTCAATGAATATTTATTCTACTGTGTCGTGGTATATACTGATCGATAAAGAAGTTTGTACTGTATACATTGGTGCTGTTCTTTTTTTTAAATTTTGACTTTCTTCCTCTTTTCAGCCTGGCTTTACTCAGTTTGAGTAGTACCAGGAAGATGATAGCACTACCAGCTGTCGAAAGCGCTCGCATGTAATAAATAGAAGTTATTGAAGCTTCAAATCCTTTTTGTGACATATGTTTATATTGAAATTTAATTAATTATTTAATTATATGCGAGCGCTTTCGCTTTCGAGTTTTAGTAGAGCCTAGATGATGACAGCACGACCAGCTGCCGAAAGCGCACGCATATAGTTAATAAAGATAATAATAATTATCATCATTATTTCAGAATATGTCAACAATACAATAAACATATAATGACAACATATAATGGAATGACGTCACTGTGGGTTACAAGACACAATAATCTTGCGTAAATAGAAATATAAGATGCAAAAATAAAGACAATTTTGAAAATTATGATTAAAATACTTGGCAATATTATAAGGTTCCAGATGTATGAGTACCTTTTTTATTTCTCTTCTATTCCATTTGGTGATTTATTGAACAATCTAATGTACATGTATTGTGGGCTATTTTCAGTTACCGTGAGTCTGTGAACGGGGTACTTGATATTTCTAGTCCTAGTTTCTAGTTTCATATTTGTGAGGGATGTAATTTATAATAAACAAAGATTTATTTTTTAAAAAGAACATTAAACATTCATAAATATGAATTGCATAAATGGTCAACATATTGTTTGATCGGAAAATAATTTCTTTGAAAACTTCTGATAATTCCTTTTCCATATTCTCTGTTTCACTATCACTGTCGTCATTTAAATCAATAATGAATTTATTTCCACCATTAATATGGAAGTGTCCAATCTCCATATAGTATTTTTTTCAAGTAAAATTACTTTTTAAATCCTTTTATGCCAGTCTTACCTTCTTACCAAATTTTGGAAAATTATTTTTACGCTTGATGCTTTGTTTCAATTTTCCCCTAATCAACTGAATGGGATTGAAAACACAAAAATAGGGGGAAAGTCTCAGTATGGTGTGTCCATACATTTCATCAATAATCTCAAGGTCATACACTTTTTCAAATGTTTTTGTATGTGAAATTTCAAGTAGTTGGTTTTTGGTATAGTTACCTTCAAAATACAAATTGTTATCTATTAAAAAACTTTGTATTTCATCTTTCCTCGAATTTTCATTCGGTACTTTGATGAGCTGTCGCGAATGATAGGAAGCGTTGTCAATAGATATTATACTATTCGCATCCAAATTTGGGATCAATGTGTTTTCAAACCATTCCTCAGAAATATTAGCTTCCATGTTCTTATGATACTCAACACTGCAGTTCTCAAGTTTTTTTCCAAATAATTTCAAAGAATTTGGAACCCATCCTTCACTTCCTCCGCAATCCACAATGATTACTCGCGATCCTTTGTTTGCAGGCCTGTTAGGCGTACACATTCTCGAACTATCAGTCCACCCTTTCGTAACTGTGTCGTGAGTGTCATACCAAGTTTCGTCCAAATAGAAAATTTGCCGTTATGTGTTCTAAGTATTTCTTAGGCAATTCCATTATTTTTCTGCTTTCCATAACTGCTTGAAGTTTATTTATCATTTTAAATCTAAATCCTAGTTTCTTTATCCAATTCTAAAGAGTTTTGTCACGGCAGCTCACGTAATGGCCGGAAGTATTCAGTTTCTTCCATAAGATTTCAATTGTAGGTATCTCATTGCTTTTGTAACAGTCGTATATTGTTTTTTCAATGATTTTATTGGATGAACATCTAAAGGGTTTGGTTATCATGTCTTGAGTTCATGAGGTTTGTTTTTGACCATTTAACGTACAGTTGAGAAAGGAATTTCGGTCAAATCTGATGTTGCTTGTGATAGTTTGTTTCCCTAGGAACCAAACATGAGATGTAGATTCTTATATACATTGAAACATACTCTCTGGTATCTCTTTTTCGCATTGTTTACCATCGCTATTGGAATCACTACTTAGGAAAGAGTCTGTGTTGTTATTACACTCGTTATTACTATTAGTACTTATCCAAGGACGCCTCATTTTGAACAGATAACAGAAATTTTAAGTAATTATATCTGCATCATTATTGAATTTCAACACTCAAATCGGGATCAGTTCCTGAACTGAACATTGACAACACGACGGCTCGCATTCTATTCGTCACCGTAACATGACACCAAATTTAATTTTATCACTCTTTAGCCATTCATACAACTCGGTTAGTAACAATTATCCAATACTTTTCGCCAATTCTTCAGTCTACTTGGATTAGTTGACAGCGGCATCATTTCTTTGTATTGGTTTTTTTGGCTTTCGCCGACACCTTTAACTATTCACAATAGCGGTTACTTCGACTATACCTACTTATGTTCTGCATTCTGGCAAACGTCAAACATGAATGTTACTTCAACATTAGTTGTTTGAATAAAAATTGCGAATTCATGATTCTTAGATATGTATATTTTTGGTTTAGGAATATGCTGCGACTCTAGGGAGGAGAGTGCTTTTCACTCTCTGGGGGGGGATATGAGTTTCCTTCCTGATGTGAGGGACGAAAAGTGTGTTCTTTATAGAGGAGTAGGACGAAAAACATATTTTGGACAGTAGTTGCTTCGTTTGGAGCCAAAAACTCACTTATGTCACTAGCTTGTATCTATCCCAGAAATTAATAGTAAGAAAAGGGCTAGTTTGCTCTTTCAAAATTAGAAACCAACTGTTAAATTCAAAATTTAAATCAGAATTGAACAAATTGTAAGTCAAAATAGTTTTTTGAAGAATTGAATAGTTCTTTTAGTACTCGTGTACGAGGAACGAAAACCTTGGAATGCAACATAACCTCAAATATATTGGAAAAAAATGATATTTCTGTACGTTTACTCGAATTATCCCAAGGAACTCATCAACTAAAACAATTCTGATACCAATTCACGTTCAGCATATAAAAACTTTTGTTTCTAGTAAAGTATTGTTTGTCGACTTAGTTGTCGAATAAATAACGATTAGTATTGAACTGGATGATTTCTTGGGTTTCAAGTCAGTTAAAATCCAACCTAGCACCCCACCAGGAAGGCCTCTGCATTATATATATAGTTGAATGGATTGTATTTGTCTTTGTCCTGAAATGTGTATTATATTTTCATTCACTCACAGGTAGCTGATTTCTATCACGACTCGTCGAGTGGAAACCAAATGGATGTAGTTGTTGTGCGTATAATGTATCTTGAGAAGGAGGAAGAGGAAATTGACCTCGTCATCAACACTGATGCTGATAAAACATTATCCAGTTTCTGCAAGTGGCAAGAGAAAATAAATCCCAAAGATATCGAGAATCCAAATCATCACGATATCGCCGTTTTGCTCACAAGGTATTTATTCAATCTGGATTTATGGTGTTAGATGTTAGTTTTCACATGAAGAGAATTTATGACTATTACATTTCACGATTGTTCGATATTAATCTTGAGTTATATCCAGCAGCTTGCAATCATTCTAATGCGAGACAACGTTCATAAAATGACTCCTTTGGAAGGTCTCTTCATTGATGAACACACATACAAAAATATCCGTTTTCTGTTTCTTACGACTGAATGATCAAAAACATTATAAATATTCTTACACATATCTCTTTCATGTATGATCACGTATCAAATCAACAATTCCATTCAGTCATTCAAAAATACTACTTTCTCGTTGCTAGATCATTTATATCATCATTAGATGACCTAACATCGCAGTGTGCCGTAAGTTCTAGCTTAATTACTAGTATAATATTCATTTTTAGATGGTGATCTAGTCTCAGAGGTGCTAATATTGAAGGTCCTTTGAACTATTGATGAAGATCTCTTCTATAAAATACCTTGGGGTTGGGCCGAATTTATCTTTATTCGTTATTTGTCTAATAACTTTGCAACGTATTCAATATTTGTTGACATCCGTTCTGATATCGTCAAGTTATTGACGGTTCTTGTGTGACATAACTCAAGATAAGATGCATTAACGATATAATTTTCGTTGGCTACTCAATCTTCTGATATTTTGGTCTTGAATAATACCTCCAAACAACAACAGCAGAATGAATACTTCAAAATGAAATACGACACATTAATCTTTCTCAACGTTGGTGAAACTACTATTTCTCTGACTGATACCACAAGACGTACATCAAACTAGCAGACGCTTGTTCTTCGTTAAGAAGCAGAACTCTGCAACCCGCAAGGGTTCATTGTGGCTCACACCTATACACACTCGACTAAATTAACCTAGCTTCTTAACAAAGCCAATAGGTTTGTACGATGAGTAGTCTTTCAGTGGCTGTGCCGAACTCTAAAAACCTGATTCGGTCCTTAGCGGGGCAGGCACAAGGTATGTGCTCTGCAGTTTCATCATTTTCCAAACAGAGGCGACACACACTCCTTCCAACAGTCCGAGTCTCTGCATATGATGATTCAAATGACAGTAACCTGTAAGAAGGCCTGTTAGACATCATAGTTCTTCCCCAATGTAGTCCAGCAACTGTTTGATATCAAGCTTCGAAGGGCGAATAAACGCCTTGGAGTGAGCCAATCCTGAAAGATTCTGCCAGAAGTCCATAAATCTTTTTGCCATCCAGATGTTCGATCTTTGCTTGGAAAAGCCTGAAGCGATGCCAATGACAGGTTCTGGTTCGATGAAGCTACTTGCAGCACCCTCTTTCGCAATGAAGTCGGCAGCCTCATTGCCTTCCAGGCAAGTATGGCCAGTAATCCAGATCAGAGACAGTCTGTTAAGTCTTTCTATGGAGGAAAGTCGTTTTTGGCAATTTGCTACCAATTTGGACGTTGCTTGGTTGGAGCCAAGAGCTTTCAACGTCGCTTGACTGCGACTGAAAACACCTGCACTGGAATCGAAGGGGTTTTTGATCCATCTGTGAACCAACAACTATCTGCTCTTGATATTTCCTTCTTCCGGAGGAGAGCTGAGAGAAAGTGAATGTTTTGAATTTCGATTCGTTCTCGATTATAGTACCGAAGAAAATTTGTTACTTCACATGAGTACTGATTATTATTCAAAATTCATGGGCTTCCGACCAGATGTGACCATTTTTCACCTCTCAGCTATACTCAGCAATAGGATATGTTCTTATACAATTTATCTGAAACCAGGGACTCTGATATAACTTTGAATATTACAATTTCCTAGATATATCACTAGAATTCCAAATGATCATCAACGAAATGGCAATATATCGTCAGTTTGAAGAAACAGTTCATTCCATTGATAGTTGATATCGATCATTGAAAATATGAAAAGATTCAGTTCATATATTCCTGGCTGAAGATCAATTTTCAGAAGCTGGTACACCAGTCGATTCAGATCCACTACCATGATCTTTCCTAACTATTTTTCTGTAGATGAATAGCTGTACTATTCATAATAACAACATCGTATATTTTACTTTGCATCAATTTAAATTTTTTTGACATTTCACTTGTACATATGCGAAATATTTTCTAGCAACTGATCTTTTTTTCTCTGAGTTCATAATCTTCTTTTCGTTTCATTTCTTGCCGTTTCAATTGTTGAAGGTCGAAGACTTTCTTTTAGTTCTTTCTTTCAGTCTTTCTATCTGTTCTGTTTCTGTTTTTCCGTTAATCAGCTGTCGCCCCCATACGAACGACAACTCTCAGAAGTTGAGAAACTTGGGCGAGCTTAGGACTAACGGAGTCTTACCTTTTAACACGTTAGGATAATTTTCAATTATCTTTTACTGCTTTCTTGATTTTAGTAAAACTCTTCTGCATCTTTATCTGAAATTTTTTCGACACCATTTTCTCATTTAACTTTGTTGTCAGTGCTGAATAACTGATTATTCAATGAATAATGATTTCATGATTCATTTAGGTATTTCTGATAGAAACGAAATATAATTCAGTATGGAATGAATAATCGAGACCCCATTATATCTAATTCTTTTCAGATATGATATCTGCGCTGATGCAGGAGCAGATTGCGGCTTGATGGGTCTAGCATACGTTGCAGCTGCTTGCACTTCCAACGAAAACTGTGCAATCAATGAGGACGGAGGTTTGGTTCTAGGAATTGTAGTCGCCCATGAAATGGGACACGTGTACGTATGTATTTTCCACTCACTACAGAATAAATTCGAGTGTGACAATCTCACCTCACAGTTGTTCTCTTCCAGAATGGGATGCTCTCATGACAAAGAAGGCGAGTCTTCCTGCGCTGCTCAAGACAAAGACGAATCATATTTCGTTATGGCGCCTTATGTCCACGTTTTCACAACGAAATGGTCTACGTGTAGTAGAGGATTCATCACCGCACTGTTTGAGTAAGGAATGATGATTCAAATATAACAGAAATGAATATAGATTATGAGATCATCACTGAACAGTTAACAAAACCCCAAAACGTGTTTCATTATACAATAGCGAACTTGATTATGCTGACTGTATGACGAGTATGAACACGCGCAATGAAGCTTTTGTTTAATGAAACACGTGTGGTGGTTTTGTATACCGTTAAATGGAAATCTCACAATGAAGTGTTAGTTGGATGAAAAAGGTATTTGTAGATTTCCAAAGGATCATTGAATAATGATTTGAGCAAAAATTGTTTTCTCATCAGACCTAAGGAACTAAAAAATAATTCAGCAAATAACATATAGGCTGCAACATACAAAATGAATCTGGAAATTTCTGTTCATGAATGAACCCAACATTTTGACATACATTTTCCTCACAGAATCTTGATTTGAAGAAAACCGGGTAGTGTAAGTGAAAAATGAATAGATTTTTCTACCCTCAGATAATGTTTCGCGTCCTCCACTTCGACACCACCATTTGACACCGACATTTGATTTGAATTCAGAAATTCAGAATCTCAAGTTAGTTTTGGTAAAAGTAAATATCTGTTTACATCGATAAAATTCAACCGTGTTTGTGATATCTACGATTTTGTTATGCAATGAGTGTTTTCACTGGAGCACTGTCATCTCCTGATGACAAAACGATTGTCGAGAAAAAGCATTTTTGTTTTGTTGACGGAAAATTATTTTCAATAGATCTACTTCACGCCAGAGATTCCAAATTCTACCTATGAAGTTGTTGGTGAGCTAGTAATCCTTAATGCTGTCATCACTTGCATCAACTTCAGATTTTTCATTTTCTTCTGATTACTTCTCAGTCTGTGATTCATGGTTGATAGTTCCAGAACTTCGTCATATTTTAATTCCCTGTACTGTATTGATACACTGTCAAAAAATTATAGTCTTTAGACCTTACGGCCACATTCTCCTCTGAGCCAATAATTCTTTGCTGTCTTGAATCTCTTACCCCTCTCATTACTATAACAGACGTTGAATTATTTTTCAGTTTATGAAATAAGTGGGTATTCAGGATTTCAGTCAAGTAGTTTACTATAATTCACTGTCATTCGCTACTATGGGGTAGCACATACATTATCTACAAATATTGTGAATGGTTATAGAAACGAATAATGATTCAAGTTATTTCATTTTGATGGAATATCTCGAAACATAAAAACTCTTATAGTGACTCCTTATTCCACGGTATCAAATACCATATTCTATAATCTATACAGTTGAATTTATATCTAAGCAAAAAATGTTTTCTCATCATACATAAGGAACTCAAAAAAGAATTCAGGATATAACATACAGGCTGTAACATACAAAATCTGGAGGTTTCTTTTCATGAATAACCACCATTTCTACATAAATTTTCCCCATAGATTCTTGATCTGGAGAAAAAAGTGTAGGGAAAGTGACAAATGAATCGATTTTTTCACCATCAGATAATATTTTGTCTCTTCCATTTCGACACCACCAGCAGGATTGCAGTGATTCGAGTTCAGAATCTCAAGTTTTGGGTAAAAGGTAATATCTGTTCACATCGATGAAATTCAGCCATTTTTGTGATATCTTCGATTTTGTTATGCAATGAATTTCTTCACTGCACCAGTGTCATCTTCTGAAGATGCCAAGTTAGTTAGCAAAACACTTGCCAAGAAAAAAATTCTGTTGAGGGAAAATTATATTCGATAGATTCATTTCATGCCAGAGGTAATAAATTCTACCTATGAAGTTGTTGGTGAGCTGGTAATCCTTAATGCTGTCATCACTTGTTGCATCAACTTCAGATTTCTCATTTTCTTCTGATTGCTTCTCAGTCTGTGAATCATGGTTGATATTTCCAGAACTTCTTCATATTTCAATTCTCTGTACTGTATTGATACACTGTCCAAAAATCATAGTCTTTGGACCTCACAGCCACATTCTCTCCTGAGCTAATAATTCTTTGCTGTCTTGCATCTTTTACCCCTCTCATTACTATAACAGACGTTGAATTATTTTTCAGTTCATAAAATAAGTGGGTATTCAGGATATAGTAGTTTACTATAATCCGTTGTCATTTGCGACTATGAGGTAACACATACATTATCTACAAATATTGTGAATGGTTATAGCCTCAGTTCAGATGAATCCTTATCCATCATTATGATATACCTTCCTGAAAAAAAAATATAAGGTCGAAATGAACAAAATATTTTCTATGTGAGTCCTTGAACTCACCACTCTTTTTAAAATAGCTGGTTCGTTATATCACCTCAGAAATCTTTATACCTATACCCTCTACTTCAAGCTAATTCTCCTAGTCGTTAGAGTACATTTAGACTTGCTATTGGATACTTTTTATGCCATTTGGAAAACCAATTTTCATGAGTTTATTCAGGATCTCAGTAATTGTGAAGAATGGATAACTTTTCTTTGAAAGGATTAAAAACCTATAATCCACTTCAGTGCCGTTATAGTGTAACACGAAGTAGACTGATTCATTCTTTCACATTTCTTTCAGTTAATAAACTAGAGATAAAGGAAATTTTCTTGAAGAAAATCTGTTAGGTATTTTGTCTTTCCTTATCAATTTCCTTGATTTTTGCAGAAACAGCCTTGGTGATTGCCTTAATGATGAACCCCAAACATCTCTTTATGCTTATAAATATGCCCTTCCTGGCACAATCTATGATGCTGAAGCCCAATGTGATATTCAGTTTCCTGGTTCTAAGTTGTGTCATACAGACGAAGACAAATTTTGTGAAATGTTACTTTGTCAAACAACTCCGGATTCTTGTTTATCAGATGAGGAGCCTCCACAAGATGGTACAAAATGCGGAAAAAATAAGGTGAGTGATATTTTCTTATATTTTTCGATTCCTGTAGTGATTTGTACAATCACTCAGTGATTGTACAAATTGTCGATGATATTTTACTGTTTGTACAATCGATACGTGCTCTGGCCCTATACACACTGTGAACGCAGTGTTTCGTTATTCAAAGTATCGAATGTAGATCCAGAGACAAGAATCCATATCTATGGTACGAATTAAATTTAATTTGAAGGAATTGTGTTTACTCACTGATGAGCGCTAAAGTAACTCAGAGTTTGACCCATACAAGTGATAATTTTTTAATTTCAGTGGTGTTTTCACAAGAAATGTATAGAAGTGGGAGAACGTCCTGAAGCAATCAATGGAGGATGGGGTTCATATGGTTCTTGGTCTAGTTGCTCTAGAACATGTGGAGGAGGCGTGTCAATATCTCAAAGAGAATGCGACAATCCTGTACCGCAATATGGAGGAAGATATTGCCTTGGAGAGAGGAAAAAATATAAAATTTGTAATAAAGATGTGAGTAATGAACAAAGAAAAGTGTTTGAAATTATTGGACTTGCTAAAATACTCGTGTCTGAGTAATTTAGAATTCAGCTATGTTGCTGTGTTGTTGATATACTGAATAAGAGTGATACCTTGTACTAGTTTTTATTTTAGCCCTGTCCACCGGATCAACCATCTTTTCGAGAGGTCCAATGCACGGAGCACAATGAGAAACCGTTCAATGGAAAATTACATACCTGGACACCACAGTTTGAAAAAGGTAACATCTATACAACGAACAATGTTAGAAATATTGATATGGTGGCTGTTTGATTAGGTTTATCCATATTAAAAATCGCACGTTGAAAAAAATTAAACGTCGTTAATCCTTAGTTCGCACAAGTTCCAACTTTTGAGGGTAGTTGTTCATTAAAGGACAACTGCTGGTTTTTTTTGTACCTTGGGAGCTGTCTGACTTGTTCATTTAGTCCAAGTCTCCAGAAAACACTGCAGCCTGTCCCTTCGTTTCATAATCTGCAGCTGAGGTCTCCGCTGTACATACCCATTTTATTCAGGTGTCCTCTAAGCGGACAATGACCGGTTAGTAACCCTGTAATTATTCTAAGCCGATCCCTACTATATTGAAGTAGTTCTTCGGTTCTTTTCTCGGACGGTTCCCAAATGAAGGTTCTACTGTGTTTGTTGCCAGGTACTCTTCTCCAGAAGCACACAGAGTTGCTTCTTATTGGTCCATGTCCTAATCTGGTTCCGTACCAATGATTTTGGTACACCCATAGCTGGTTCAGGTCCTGTATGTGAAGTTGACGATCCACGTCTAGCGCATTCATCAGCTTTATCTTTACCTGTGATTCCTGAATGCCCTGGCAACCAGTACAAAGTTGATTTGTTCCTGTTTGCTAGTTCATTCAGTTGTTCATGGCATTCCCAGATCAGTTTGGATGTCACCTTCTGGTTTGTCAGACCCCTAGTGCGCTCTTGCTGTCTGAAAAATACTGATCCGCTCATTTCTTTGAAGTGTCAGTTTAATAAGCCTTGAACACTGCAAGAAAGCATCCGCTTCCGCCTGAAAGACGGATGTGTATAGTCCTAGCGGATAGTTGTAGTTTAGATATCTATCCGCTCGGTATATTCCAGCTCCCGTTCCATGTTTGGTCTCCGATCCATCTGTATAACAGGTGTTTCTTTCAAACATGTTTTCGGGATGACTAATGGTCTTCCACTCTTCACGACTTATGATTTTGGCCGTGAAGTTTGTGTTAAAGGTGTACAGTGCTATTTCCGCTTTCCTCTTTATCTTGTTCAAGTGTTGGTTCCAGGTCAGTTTGGAATCTAGGATTACTCCTAGATATTTCTCCCACGACACTTGTATTTCTTCATCTCGAAGTTTTAGAGGTCTGAGACCCTCCGTTTTAGTCCTCTTGATGAATGCTACTATGGTCGATTTGGATGGGCTTATGTTAAGCCCTTATCCGTCGGTCCAGCTTGTTATAATGTTCAGGGCCTGCTGTATACATCCCTTCACTACATTATTGTATTTACCCTGGACTAAGATGACTAAGTCGTCTGCATAGCCCAGTGCTTTATATCCATTATGGTCCAAGATACATAGTAGCTCGTCCATTACAAGATTCCATAACAGAGGGGACAGCCTCTTGTTACCCGTGCCACGACTGTTTCCCCCATAATAGTTGTATATACCAATCTTCCCCTAAACATGCAGTATATCCACGACTGCTGGTTAACGAAATAACATATTTTCAACAGATTCAATAGAATTTGAATAATTTTGATATTATTTTTATTAGTTGTGTACAAATGAAAAGAAAATGGTATTAGGTTGTGTAAATTACAAAGCTGTGAATAATCAGTCTCAAGACCTTCACATTTCTTCTCCCTTCTTTAGATTACATTTTGTTCACACCAGTTTAAAGTTACCTACACTGTAGGATAACGGACTGACACCTATCAGAAAACAATTACTTCCTGATTTATACCACGAAGGACGTTGGATTATACACGACAGGTGTCAGTGCAGGATTCTTCACTGAAGTCATTCCTGCATATGCTGTTGGCGATATAACTTCCGGGATAGATTTACAATGTTGTCAGTCCTTTATCCTACAGTGTAGGTAATTTAAGGCTGGCCTGAATGAATTGTTTAGATAATTTGAATCACAGCCAGTCTTCAAGTATCCCCACAATTTGTGTATTGTCATCGGAGAGAAACTCAAGATAAATTTACCTATGAAAAAGCTAGCCACTCGCGTCAGTGAAACGTTAGAAATTCAATAAACCGAGCTTTCAGATCCGAATGAAAATAGTGACACAAAAGCTTTGGCTGCGTGGCTGCGAAAGCAAAAGCAATTAGTCAAATCAGTATTGGATTATTCCTCACGATGATACTCTGAAGCTATGTACACCTGAAAGAAATAATGTCGAAGATATAATTTCCGAATCTTCTACTAATCTGATCTGATCGGAAAATGACCATTCTTGACGATAATTCACTTTCAAAACTTTCACGATCATTTTCGAAACTTTTATCTGTTCCAGATGAACCCTGTGTTTTGTACTGCAGCAATGAGGAAAATGCTTATGCTAAACTGGAACCACGAGTCAAAGATGGAACATCTTGTAAAACCGGAACGAAAAATAGGTGTATCAGTGGAGTATGTCGTGTGAGTATTTCAGTATCAAGAATCATGTTTTCACTTCTACCAAGAAAAGTCCCACAAAAACAATGATTGAAGCAAAATGTTTGAAAGTTATTACTCGTTTTTATTGATAATATTTGTCTCGAAATGAATTGGAATCGAACGATAAAGAATAAATATCTTTTTCTGTTTGTCAAAAACAATGGTTTTCATGTAACATGTTTTGTATTTCATCAGTTCGGACTTCCATTGTCTAATATAATATAAATTGATTTGAAATTCCTGAAAAAATATTAAAAAGATTAACTAAAAATAACAATTTTATTTGAACAAAAAAAAACTGAAATTACAAAGAAATAACATAAAACCAAACAACAACCAAAAAAATTAAAATTGATAAAAATTGAAATATTAAAAAAGCTGAACAATTGAAAATTATTAAAAAGATTCCAAATCAAGTTATGTCACGACGTTTCGATTGTTAGTATCCACAATAGTCCGGGTGATAACACGTTTTATTACGCAAAACATATTTGGAAACTTCTGATTATCGAACAAAGTTCTCAAATATGCATTACCCCACACCGTGGGTTAAGTGATCATTGGGTCTGAGAATCATGTGCCCTGAGTAAGCGCACATCCTTCTGTGTTTGTCCAGCTGAGATTTCTGCCTCAGTGCGGCAAGCCGGCATGAGTTTGAAATTTGAGAGTAGAGAGGGCATCAAACCACCAAGGACTCCAGTAATCAGAACAACCATTTCGACAGAGTGGTCCGGATATTCTGCGGAGTTCGTAGAACATATCTCGATATATTATTCGTTTTTCCTTCTGTCTTCGGAGGTATCTTTCTCGCCAGGAGCTGAAAACTCCACGACAAATATTGTCTTGATCTGGTGGTCGAGAAGGACTTCATCAGGCTCATAGGAATAGTTTCAATGAATTCGGCACTTGTCGTTCTCCACACGGATTCAATATCTCCTAGAGCGTAGGACAACACCAGTGCCTCATCAATACCGTAAGAGTGCCGTAGGAGGTAATGGAGCATCTTTAGTGCCACGTTATATCGATGGATGTAGGTCGAGACCGCATATGCTGGTCATGCTGACAGCAAGTGCATCAGGCAGACCCTGCACTTTGTGTCAACAACTCTATGTCCATCACGCGACTTCGGTAGACTGAGGCGTTGAAAACACCATCCTAGCATATCATGATGAACCTCTCAGTTTCCGACTTCAGTCCATTCGACCTGAGAAAAAAGAAGGTCAGGCGCTTCAAAATTTTTAATATTTTTGAAGGAGACCACATACATTTGCTTATTCTTGTTATCATTATCATTATTTCTATTTGTGATTTGCTGGTAAAAAAACATGGTGTGCTACTCGTTCAGATAACCCATTTCACACTCGTGTGATTGTGGCACTCGTATTCACTCATGCCGCAAATCGCACACAATATAATATGAAATAGGTTACTTTCTGCACTTGTTGAACAATACAATTTTATGCATCTGATGGAACTGCTGTTGAAACTCTGCATGAACAGATGACATGTCTTGAATGATTAACAACTTGAGCATGTTGTGATTTGACCATTTGATGCTTCTTGAAAAATATATTTGAACTAAAGGGAAAAGATAAAGTGCTCAAGATATGAACAAAGGAATTTCAATAGTATGAGTGATGTGGATTTTTTTCAATAATAGTGAGGATTGATATGTACAATGAATAACAGTGGTTCCAAGTTGGAACCCTCCGATATTACCATTGTTATCGACAAATTCTCAGAAGAGACTTGTTTTGAATCATTTTCATTTTCAAATAATTGACACATATTGGATCCGATTGTTTAGAAAATATGTGGGTTATTTATGTGCAATATCTCTAATACCATATTGATCCAGAATATATAAGACAAGAGAACTGATAAATTAACATAGTTGAATATCCTGATCGATTCATGAAATATCAATATCATGAATTGATGTGCTATTGTGTTGTATGGTGAAAGATATTGTCTACATATTTTATCATTTCTGAAGATCATTCAATATCTATTCATGCTGAAAGGTGAATCTGAAACTTTTGACGTGGAACGAATCCAAAACGAGCACTTTTCCAAGTCACCAGAAATGCACTACTCTTCTCGACGCGTACTTCACCAATCAAGACAGCGAGTTCACTAGATGATGACGGTATCTTCTGTCATTGATGCGGTTCGCGTGTGAATGGGGTGGATTTTCGAGAAATCCTGCGGGTACCGCCCCTCAGCCCACGCTAACCTGCCCTCACTTTAGCTTGCTCATATTTCCACTGAGAGTGCTTTGGTGGCACATGTGCCCCTCCTGACCTACCAAGTCGATTGGGTACATCGTCCCTTGAAATGGGAGGCCAAGATCCTGAGCTCGGATACTAGTAGCTCCACAAGCCCCGACACCTCGAACGCTTGGATCAACAGAAGCAGGCGGAAATCACGGAACAGCGACAACTGTCCAGGGTCCCATTGAGTGGCTGCATGTGCCCATGAATGGATTCACGTGTTCCGTTCCATTCACCCGCTAGCGGAACCTTGGCTCCAAGTAGCCCACGCCAATGAAGATGAAGGCTCACTAGCCTCCAGCCTTTGTTTCCCCCTAGAACTCATGTTAGGAAAGTTCCCTTTCCGACGGTTGATGAGTAACCGTCGAGGACTCTTTCGAACGACTTCTACCAAACGTCTTATGTCGAAGACGTCGGACCCGTTACCCGTGTAGGTTCGGGATAGGGCGGTTCACCAACAATATTTGGGTGTCGCCTTACATTACCTCAAGGGGCACTCATCTGAGGAAAGCTATCTTTCCAACGTCGGATGAGTAATCTTCGAGGGGCTCTTGCGAGACACCTCTACCACACATCTAACTTGAAACCGGCCAACGCATGTTACGCGCAGATGCGGGATTTAGTAGTTGACCTACAACTTCATTGGGTGAGCGCCGTGTGATCTGCGCCGGGGGCCTGTTTCTGCACAGGAGATGGAGGCTTCATTTCCTGAAGACACCAACCAGATGATGACTTCATCAACTGAAGACACCAACTTGGTAGGTGAAGAGCGCGTCTAGGTGAGTATTGCATTTCTGGTTACTGGAAAAAGTGCTTGTTTCGTTCATGAATTCTTCAACTTTTTTAGCTGTCTAACATCGTGTTTTGTGAGAGAATTAAAAAATTGGGCTTTTTCACGTTGAAAAATTTTGAAAATGTTTGTGTTCACATCTTTTATTTATGAGTAGAATTTCAGATACATGGTTTACATTCCACCACATGAAACAAATATCTGTCATAGTCAAAGAGCCGGCGCATTTCTGGGAATGAGATCTTTTGATCCCACATCAATTTATTGCACGGCTCGGGCAATGTTTCACCAATAATTACCCCATAATTTACCTGTTTGTTTCTTCAGAAAGTCGGATGCGACTTTCAGCTCGACTCCGACGCTGTCGAAGATGTATGCGGAATTTGTAATGGTGATGGAACGCAGTGTAAAATTATCGAAGAGGTTTATAAAGATACCGGCGCTCGTGGTGAGACACTTAAATTATATTTAGTCCAGTTCGCAACTGCCATTTTGTCCGAAAGCAAGATTGAAAATCAAGATTGAGGTGTCATCCGATTCGAAAGGTTATCTGAAAACTGTAAGAATGTTTTGAAGAGAGACTGACAAGATTACAACAAATTCAAATTGAAGATGTTTTCAGTGATCCAACATTGTTTTAATGTGGGGTTCCACAAGGTACCATGTATTTATTCAAAGAAAAAAGAACATAAGAACATTTTGATTGAAAATTAAATATTTCAGTGAACAGCGGCAACACAAAAGCGATGAAAATATAAACTATCTGTTATAGCTATCCTTCACTTCACTATTCAATACATAGGGTGTAACTGAATAAGTGTAAAACATTCAAGGAGGTGGTTCCTCATCGAAAGAAAGATGTGATCTTTCATATAAAGACATTTCATTGGAGCATCCCTTGTTAAGATACAGCCCCTTGAAGGGGTCACATAAAATTTGTATAACAATTTTTTTCACAAGCACTAAAAAAGTTACAATATTGAAATCAACCTGATGTTTTGTACTACCAAAAAGACACTTAGCCAAAAATTTATTTGGTTTACCCCATGGTTGTAAGGGGTGGAAAACGCAACCCCTAAAATTTATTTCCAATGTAACTTTTTGTCTTATTATTTGTTTACCATTTAAAAATTTATTTCCGATAGCCTGTTTCATTCTAAACAAAAAATGTCTCTTGGGTTTTTTGCCCAAAATAAACCAGTTCACAGCAAAACATTATTTTAGGAACAACTACAGAGATACATCGTCATAAATGCGAAAATACGAAACTAATCTATCTAGTAGGTCGCTAGTAGCGATAGTGACAATTAAATTGGTATGACGCTGTCAGTCTGTGAATTTTCGAAATTGAATCAATACTAATTGTGTGTTGTTGTTCTGTTCTTGATTTGTTACTTTAATAATTAACTTGTTATTAAAATAGCATACACAAATGTGCATTACGTTTACGGTCTGTCGCAGAGGAATGGGTTAGAATCTTCTAGAAGATATGCTGAAATGTATCCTCAACGGCAGCATCCTTCGCATTGAATATTTGTTCGACTTCATCAACGATTACGAGAATATGGTTCATTCGACAAAAGAACGCAGGATTGTGGTCGCCATCGAGAAGTACGAACACCACAGCTTGAGGAAGCATTACTTAATTTGATTGAAGAACAACCTACTATCACTAATAGAAAGATTGCTTTCCAGCTAAATGTTGATCATATGACGGTATTTTGAATTTTAAAGGAACAACTTTTATACCCTCACCATCTGTAACGAGTACAGGCACTGTTACCGCGAGACTTTCCGAACCGTCTTGAATTTTGCAATTGGATGCTTGAAATGATTAGAAGAAATTGTGACTTTCTGAAGACGATATAATTCACAGACGAATGTAGTTTTTCTCGGGACAAGATTAATAATTTTCATAATTACCACATATGGGCTGTTGAAAACCCTCACGCTATTGTCGAAACTAACCATCAAGAACAGTTTTCTCTTAACGTGTGGCTCGGAGTTATTGGGGATGATTTAATTGGGTCTCATTTTCTACCTCCTCGCTTAAATGGTGAGGCATACGTTCAATTTTTAAGATAAGTGCACCCAGTACTGCTGGAGGAAGTTCCTTTGGGCCTCAGAAGGAATATGTTTTTTAAGCATGATGGGGCTCCCGCCCATTTAGTCAAGTAGCACGTCAGCATTTAACTGAAACATATGCAAAGCAGTGGATATGTCGAGGAGGACCACAGAACTGGCCCGCTCGATCCCCGGATCTCAATCCTCTCGAATTCTCTATTTGGGGCCACTTGCAGCATTTGGTTTATCGTACTCCTTTTCGGGATGTAGAGGACTTAAGAAACCGCATCGTCGATGCGTGCAGGGTAATCAGATAGTTTCCAGTAATATCTGAACAAATACGATGCTCAATGCGCCGACGTCTAGACGCATGCGTAATGTCTGAAGGTAGACATATTGAACATTCACTATGATTTCTACTTGTTGTGTGTTTTGTTATTAATAAATTAATTTTGTTTAATACCCTTTGATCGTTCAATGCAGGTACTAACTACAAAATAACAATGAATCCAGTTCGCATTTATCACGATGTATCTCTGTAGTTGTTCGTAAAATAATTTTTTGCTGCGAACTGGTTTATTTTGGGCAAAAAACCCATGAGACATTTTTTGTTTAAAATGAAACAGGCTATCGGAAATGAATGGTGAACAAACGATAAGATGAAAAGTTACATTGGAAATAAATTTTAGGGGTTGCGTTTTCCACCCCTTACAACCATGGGGTAAACCAAATAAATTACTGGCTAAGTGTCTTTTTGGTAGTTTTTAGTAATACGAAACGTCAGGTTAATTTCAATATTGTAACTTTTTTAGTGCTTGTGAAAAAAATTGTTATACAAATTTTATGTACCCCCTTTAAGGGGCTGTATCTTAACAAGGGATGCTCCAATGAAGTTTCGTTATATGAAAGATCCTATCTTTTTTTCGATGGGAATCACCTCTTCAAATGTTTCACACTTATTCAATTACAGCCTGTGCTAATGAAAGGCAAACTTTCACTGGAAACCAAAAAAAACTCACACTTCTGCTGATTTTACGGTTATTTTATATACAGCTGAAACTTGGACTGGATTGAAAACTATTATTTTGAAAATATCAGTCAGTAGTTTGGCAATAACTTTTCAATAATAAATTTTGATAAGTGAATAGAACTGGCTAATACTTGATGAAAAATCCATATTGAAACTGAATAATTTAGTTGATTGTTTGATTTTCACCATACATGGTTTTACAAACAGCATGACAAGTATTTCGCTATACAATAGCTTTCTCAAGTATAAACTAAAAGTTACTTCTGAATTACAACCATTTTATACTCTAACATATTACCTACTCGTATGCCTACTTTCTAATGAATGAATCTACCTGAAAAGGTCAGGTATGAACTCATTAACTATATGAATAAATTTGTCGAATGTACCGTAAATATTAACTATTCGTACCTGGAAATAAACAGATTCAATAATGGCGAATAATTCGGTTCAGATTGATTGTTCATAAGATATTATGAGCTATTGAATTTGTCCATAATGTCCATACTGTCTAACAAGTTGAGTTTCAAACCTTTTTTCTGGAAATTGTTAAACACATGTCCCTCTGTGATTAAATGAGTGGCATATGTGAAATTAATTTTTCCATTCTGGAAATTGTTTTTGTGTTCCTCTATGCGGGCTTCGAACGTTTTTCCAGTTTGACTTATATAAAACATCGTATGAGACCCACATCATAATTAATACACTCCGAAGTTTTCTGAAACTGAACGAATAGACAGTTGACTAAGTTTTGGAATTTCATCAATTCTCTCCACCTGCCTATCACATTCACCATGGAGATGAAAAATGACGACTCTATTCATTTTTTGGTCTTGACAATAACAAAAGTTAACGACAAACATGATTTTTCAATTCATCGTTAACCAGCACATACAGATATTATCATTCATAATTCGTCAACCCACACGTATCAGCACAAATAGATGGATAGATAGATAATTTTTATTCATCCATGAAGCTTTACACAGTGCAGTACAGTATTAAAACTCATTAGACTAGTAGCATTCAACAGTATGATACACAGACTGATAAATGTGCCCTAGTCAGAGGCGAATTTCAATAAAGAACTGAACATAATGAAACAAATAGCCGCCAACAATGATTACGATAGCATTCTAATACATTCTTTATTATCAAAAAAGTTATACAGCCAAGCTTTGAAGGAAGTTTACCCAATTCGAAGAAAAGAGGATAAAAGTTAAGAACCTTAACCTACTTAGTCCAACCCACTTCAAATATTTCAGATTTTCTACACAACAAAGGTGAAAATATTACTTTCAGAATCAATAACAACTTAGGAATGGACATTGAGAATAACAAAGATAAAAGTTCAGTTTCAGAAAAATCGGGAGTGTATAAATTATCATGTGGGTCATGTCCGATATTTAATATAAGTCAAACTGGAAGAATATTCGAAGCCCGCATAAAGGAACACAAAAATAGTTTCTAGAATGGAAAAATGCATTTCACATATGCCACTCATTTGATCACAGAGGGACATAAGTTCAACCATGAATTCAAGGCCCTCCATTTCCAGAAGAATGGTTTGAAACTCAACCTATTGGAGAGTATAGAAATGAACAAATTCAAAAAATGAAACTGAACTGAATAATTCGCCATTATTGAATCTGCTTAGGTAAGAATAGTCAAGTATATTTACGGTACTTTCGAAAAATTTATTCATATAGTCAATCAATTCATACCTGACTTTGTAGGCATACAAGTAGGTAATATGTTAGAGTATTAAATAGTTGCAATTTAGGAGTAACTTTCAGTTTACGTTTGAGGAAGCTTTGGTATAGCGAAACACGTGTCGCGGGTTTTGTAAAACCCTTTATAGTGAAAACTATACAATGAAGTGTATTGATCAGTTTTAATTTCTATAAGATGTCTTCCGTACACTTCTTATTAAAACTGATGACCTAACTCAGGTTTCCAAAAAATTTCCAAATTTCCAATTTTTAGAAAGTGACTGTCAAATATCTTTGGCAAAATGATTGATGACATCTGAAATGGGATCATCAAATCAATTATATTGTGAAAAAAATCTTCTTCCAGAACTTGTGAAACAATTTTCAAACATACATTTATTTGAGACTTTTCAGTTTTCCTTGATGAAATCAAGGGATTTTGAGCTGGGGTGGTGTGAAAAACACTTTTTTTGAAATTGATTCATAATGAAGATTGTAAATATTTAGCTGATTGACGGAACTGAAAAAAGGACATAAACTATTCACAAAATAATCATCATCTTTTTCAAAAATGAACAAAATACCAAATTCAATGATCATACACATGACAGTCGTTATTAAACTCAAATAACTTTTTTAATATATTATTTCCTATCTTAATGATAAAATACAAGATGAATTGGAACAAATAGAATCATATCTTCAAAAAAATTAGGAATAAGAAAACTGAAACTTTTAGAAAAATTTATCTGAATTAACCAAATTGAACTATTTTCGAAGTCTGTTTATTGTGTGAATTATAAGTTAACGAATATTCATAAATGGAGTCCCCCTCATAACAAGTTCTCTTCGTGAGGTTCATATCTCAGTTATAATGGAGTATGTATTTTAAAATATTATAGCTTTCATACACGAATAAACTTATAATATTATCATCATCATATTATATTCGTGTATGAAATTCTCCATTACAGTTTTTGATTTTTCAGATTGTGGCAGAAAGATTCACAGAAAAGTTATTTTGAAGTTTTTTGTACCATCGCGTCGGGAGTTATTATAATTATGTGGAAAATGAAAACTTATAGTAATTTGGAGTATATATACTCCTCCCAAGATTAAAAAAATATTCAAAAATTCATCAGACATCCAAATATAAGTATGAGGCAGCATATTAAAACTTTCAGCAGTTTCTGGAACAAAATAAAACTCGAAAATTTTCAGAACCAGTGAAAATTAAGGTTGCATTGGTTTTGGTTTGCCCCAAGGATCTATATTAGGCTCACATTTCAAATAATTTTTGAGATATTTGCTGAAAACCAACTGGCTATTTTTCATTCAAGTGAAACTTATTTTTTTCAAGGACAAAACACAAGCATGGCAAATTCCATCACGCTCTTTTTACTCAATTGTTCATCACTTTCCTATTTTTTTTGCAATTCATCAAAAGTTTAATACAGTTTATGGAGAATAATTCGAATCGAATGGCACCTTAGGCGTGATTTTTGTTCTGAGCGGACAGGTATTCGATAAAATGGTCCGTATGAACTACACTAATTGCTTATGTGCGTTCGGAGGATTTTTTTTCGGGTGAGTAATTGCAGTTTGATTCTCCGTTGCAGATTACAAAAAAGTGGCCACCATTCCGCAGGGCAGCAGGAACGTTGATATCAAAGAGTTGGCGCCTTCAGTGAATACGCTGGCAATTAGTGATAAGAGCGAGAAAGTATTTTACTTGAACGGCAATCAGTAAGTTCTCGATATGTGGCTACAGCGTTTTTTACTTACATTTTGATTATATTGGCAAAAATTATAAGGAAGATAACAAGGAGCCAAAGTCGTGTCTATCACTATCTCCCTTTCAGAGGCACCCCTTCAGAAATGAAAATAAATAACATTTTTTCACTTCCTCTTCTTGAGGAAGATTAAACGTCAGGAAGAAATTCAATGAAACGACGGCATTCAAATCCGAAAAAAAGTGAAACTGATTCATATATGACTTTCAAAATTGATATTGAGCAACATAACCATTCGATGAGATATTCTAAAAGTAATGAAAATGAAACGATTTCATTAAGGCATCAAACTTCACAATGAGCTACCGAATACTCTGAAAAACTTCTGAAAACGAAAACTCCGAATGAATTAAAAAAATATGTATTGCTTCATCACTATATATATATATTTTTTTCATTTGTCCTCAAACGAGGTACTGACGATGCATAACAGGCTGAAACACTTATATCCTACCAGTGGCTCTTGAATTGAAATCAATCTGTGAATGATCAGAATAGAATTTTTCCTTTCATCTTTTCAGTTTCCTCAAATATGTAACATATACACAAATCTTAAGTATACAAAAGCACACATAAGTATATTTTAAATTTATTAGAGAAAATCATATGGATGTGATAACATAATCTCGTATTTTTTCTTTTCTACCATTATTGTTTCATTTGACTGAAACTTATGGAATTGTGCACAGTTTTTCACTTGATAATGAAGTAAGGTTCTGCTAAAATTAATATACATTGTATAAAGACCGGATGGAGAGAATTAGAAATGATTGTAATATTCGAAACACAATGTATCGGGCTACGAATGACAAAACTGCAATAATTTTTAGTTATTTTTGAGTTTTCAATTACTTCAGGAGTTTTTTGCATTCCAGCATAGAAGATAGAGATGGTGATAAAAAATTCGGAAAAGTTGAAGGTGTTTATGCGCATCCGGAACCAGGTAGGGAGACACTGGTAATAAGTGGTCCAATAACTGAAGACTTGATATTTTTCGTAAGTATGCATTCAAATACGTAACGACAGTAGCGATGAATTCATCAGCTGTGATCACCCATAACATTTATTTGTAACAAATAAGTGACCCACAAATCTGTTTATCTGTTTAAAATCTGTTTTTCCGGTAATCAGCTGCCAAATAATTGACTATTCTCTGTAGATT